CCTGTTCGGTACTTGATGAAAAGCTTACAAATACTACTCAATTCGTTGTCAGTTCTTTTTAATACCATGAAACCAGGAAGCTTTTGGAAGGCTATTATCATGATAGACATTATATGTGTTACCAGGGCTTGAATTTGGACCGAGGCTGGAAATGCAATACGATAGTTTCTTATGTTAAAATAAACTATAGATATAGATACTGTAGAGAGGAAAAAAGTGAACAGAAAAATCAAAGAACATGCAACCCAATATTTCCTATCAATAGTTGCTTAAAATGGGAACACATGGCATAACTTGAAAACCAGTTTTACATTTATTATACAAATAGTTAATCCTAATAGAGTTACTTTTTTTCCCCCTTAAACACCAGGGCCTGGAGGTCAGGACTTCCTTTGTCTTCAAATTTTAAGCAAAGAATGAAGGGATCTATGAACCAATAGTTAGCAGACCCTGTTAACAAGGAAATAATGTGGGTTTTGTTTTTGTTTTTGTTTTTGTTTTTGTTTTTTTACTGTAAACCTCACCTATAGGTTGTGACTTTTCTTTTTTTTCCTAATTCACATTGAGTGAAGAAAGAATTAGACTGATACTATGCTAAGAACAGTTCAAATCACCCACATATACTCAGGATGTTTAATTAAGTGGCGTGCTTATATGCAAACCCAACATATTCAGAAATGCTCCAATTGAACTAAAATGTAAAAAGATGGTGGGCTTATTATAGCAAATAAAACTTGGGGACCATTTTCATAACTCTTACAATAATTCTTTAGATTTCATTTGAGGTGAGACGTGATCTTTGCACTTGTCTCGATAACTTTTGACTCCTTCAGTGAGGTACATTCAGAAGTTTAATATAAACACATTTATAATGTTTTAAACTAAAGTCATCATCTGTTCTAGGATAATACCTAAATACTTTTGACTTTTTACCATTTGGACTTATTTCAGGACCGCTTCAGAATTTTTTCCTCTCTCTTTTCAGAAAATACAACATTATGTCCATTTACCCAGTACTTCTTGGCACACAGAACAACACATCAGATGTGTGCTTAATTCACCTATAAGAAAATAAAAAAAGGGCAAAGGAAACCCTTACTTGGTCCATCCTTGTGGGGAATTTTAGTTCTGTCAGTATAGTAAATACCAAGAGAGAAAGACAAATCTCCTAACCAAAGTTGACTCCATTCCCTTCCTTTACTTTTGAAGATTTTAACTGCCAGACTACAGTTTTCCTAGGACAGCCATTCAGAACCAGCTGTTTCTCCCCTTTGGTGGCTGTATAATGTTTCCTGTTTTCTTAGACCCTACCAGACTTTTATTTGCCTTCTCACCAGATAATACCTGAGGTAACCTCTCCCTCCCCTGCTTCATGATGTATCTAAATGTTTGTCCCTTATTAGGATATTTGCATGAACAAAATTATATATCCAGAGGAGAATATTTTCTTAAGCCTAACACTGGACTTACAAAGATATGTATGTTTCAGAAAGGTATCCATGTATTTTCAAACATGATGCTGGTTTTACCTGTTTTACCAGATCAAGTAGCATAATCTCCAAACAGATTTTTCATGTACTCAGTTAATCTCTATCCATCTTTGTCAGTGAATTCTTCCAGTAGTTTGGAATAGCAAAGAAGTGCACAGAGGTTGTAACAAAAGTGATATAGGAGGGGCAAAGGAAATGTGTTACTTAAAATGAGTTGCTTGAAATGGAGAAGTTTTGCATTTTGAAAATTACTAATTTCTGAAGAAGCAAGTGGAGTTGTCTACCTGTAACATGTAATACATATAATATCTAACTTAACATTTGTTACAGGAAAAACTGTTTTAAGTACATATTTATGGAAATAGAGTGTTCAATTCATTATGTGTTAGTTGGCTTGTCTTTCTACCTATCTTTATGCCTGTATATTGTCATATATATACAGTCTGTGTGGCACCTGGGTGACTCAGTCGGTTAAGCCTCTGACTTCAGCTCAGGTCATGATCTCAGTCTGTGAGTTTGAGCCCCTCATCGGGCTCTGTGCTGACAGCTCAGAGCCTGGAGCCTGCTTTGGATTCTGTGGCTCTCTCTCTGTCTGCCCCTTCCCCATTCATATTCTGTCTCTCTCTGTCTCTCAAAATTAAATAAACATTGAGAAAAAAAAATTAAATAAATAAAAATACAATAAAATGCAAAGGTAGAATACTTACTTAAATTTGCCTGTACACCAGGAGCCACTGTTGCAACAAGCTATAGAGTCGGATAATTTTCTGTACATATTATATAATACATTTATTTACTTTTAATAAAGTTTGTGTTCTTTAATTTTTTTTTTATTTTTTTAATGTTTATTTATTTATTTTAAGAGAGAAAGATAGAGAATGAGCAGGGGAGTGGCAGAGAGAGAGGCAGGGAGAATCCCAAGCAGGCTCTGCACTGTCAGCATGGAGCCTGAGGGGGGCTCAAACCCACGAACTGTGAGATCATGACCTGAGCCAAGAATAAGAGTCAGATGCTTAACCAACTGAACCACTCAGGTACTCCAAAGTTTGTGTGTGTGTGTGTGTGTGTGTGTGTGTGTGTGTGTGTGTGTGTGTTTTAAAGAGTCCTACAGTTTGTATAAGCTTAAATCTAACTCTAACTTGCAGTATGACAGTCCTCCATTCGTAAAACTTTTCTCAAAAAGTGCATTTGATATCAGTCACATATGAAGTACGTTTCATTATAGATATAGAGATAATTTTTAAGTTTATTTTTTGAGAGAGAGAGAGACAGGAAGAGAGGAGAGAGAGAAACCCAAGTAGCATCCGTGCTGTCAGTGTGGAGACTGATGTGGGGCTTGATTCCCATGAATCGTGAGATCACAACCTGAGCTGAAATCAAGAGTAGGTCATTCAACTGACTGAGCCACCCAGGGGCCCCAGATGTAGAGATAATTAAGTGAAAGCTCTCCATATGCTAAAAAGTGATACAGGGCTTCGATGAGAGAAGTGTGGCAAGTTTTTATCACATGATTGAATTTATATAAGGTATATATCTATGTGTATGTATATCTATATGTATTTGTCCATCTACATATACATAATATCTATCTACATATATGTGGTATCTGTCTATATATGTGTAGTATCTGTCTGTCTTTTTGTCTATCTGGATTGGCAGCCTTTTTGAAGCTTAACATTTCTGTCTTACCCTGACTCTTAATTTTCGTTTGATTCCTTGTTATTTAGAGATAGTAGGAGGTAAATAATTGGTGGAAGAAAAGTCATCTTTGTGGTAGGTTTTTTTTTTTAAACTACTTACCTAACCATTATATTTGTTTATTGAGAAATAAACAGTTAAGTAAACTGGCCACTCAGGTTTTAAAAACTAAACACTTGGGCAACCCATTGGGTCAATTAATTTTATAGCACACATTTCAGAATGCCTTTTATTATGATAAATTCAAATGTAGTAACCTATAACATGTCAGTATGTTCTAAAATAATCCAGAAATACTCAGATAATCACTGAGTTTTTTCCCATCACAATGTGCTTCTTTTTTGTCATAAAACTAGATCTAATCAATCCATGTTTTGAGATATCAGCACGGGATAGACAAGACAAAGTTATTTCTTAGTATTAAATATGAAGTGTTTGTGTTTGGGGGTGGGTACTTTATCCACCCCAGGTTTCTTTTATTTTTTCTCTCCTCACTTCTTTTTCATTATTGATTTCTCCTTTCCTTATAACATGAAGTGCCAGAAAACTTTGAACTATGTTAAAATGACTATTTAAAATAGTCTATTAATCTTTTTTCTGTTTTCAAAGACACATTGTTGTCCCATGAATTTGTTCTAAAGCAGTATTTATGTAAATACATGGTTTTATTTACAGTAAAAGTAGATTGTTCTTTCTAGGAGAGAAAGTGATTGCCTTTTCAAAGGTTGCAAACTGGGCAGGTTGACAAGTTGTTTGATTCCATGCTGGCTAATACAAGCAACGCCCCCCAACAGCATGACTGTGGCCGGGCTGACCATCTACCAGAGGCTTTCACACAAGGTTTTGTCCCCCTCATCCCTCCTGCCATTCTCTTTCCTTAGAACTTCCTCTCTAGCTCTTTCTCACTCTGTATCTTCCTTGCCCCCTCCCCCACTTTCTCCTGTTTCTTTCTCTTCCTCCTTATTTGCTTTTCCTTTTGACTCCATAATTCTCAGAACCTAGAAGAGAAAGACAATTTTAAGCAAACATACTTTTTTTTTTAATTTTAATGAATCACCTTTGAATAATCTTTAGACTTCCAGACCCCCTAGTATAAGTTTAGCTAGTTCGAAATAAGAAAATGTTTAGAGAAGAATACTTGGCTTATGATTTTTTCTTTGAGGGGACCTGTCTGGGTTGCTATTTTGTGGAAACACATGTGTATATACATCCTATATGAGTTGAGACATGTACTCATGAAGTAATATGTATTACTATACGTATTTTTCTAATATTTATATATTTGATATACATATATCCATAAAATTTTGAAGATGGTGATTGTTTTATGCGTAAGTACATTCTACATACATTCTTTTTACTAGCTTTGATAACAGATATGTATATGCATACTTTTCAAATTGTTTAATCTTTATTATTTGTCATAATCCTACCTTGAAACCATTGCCAAAGGCTTTCCGTTGATAACACTATGACATCGGTGCGATGATTGATTAGGAAGTATTGAGAAGCCTGACATTTAATTGTTTGTTTTTCACGATGCTAGTCAAAGCTCCAACATCTTAGCGTAATACATGTGAGGTAAGTAAGGAACGTAAAGATAGCATCTGATGAAATCTGATGTCTCTGGGAGGCCAGTGTCTACATGCTGTGGTACTTTAATAGTATTTTCAAAGAGTTAAGTAATATGCAGATATCATCAAAACAGTGAGCCATCATTTCTAAAGGATTTACTAGCGGTGACCTATAGCTGTGAAGTCGGTGAGCAGACGTTTGGTTATGATCACCCCTTCTCTTTCTGTCCCTGCCCAGGTGCCTGTGTCGGTGGCCATGATGACTCCCCAGGTGATCACCCCTCAGCAAATGCAGCAGATTCTTCAGCAGCAAGTCTTGTCTCCTCAGCAGCTCCAAGCCCTCCTCCAGCAGCAGCAGGCAGTCATGCTGCAGCAGGTAATGTGGGTTACCTGCTTTGGTGTCCTGGCATGTGGCGCACGTGTGCACCTCTGACGACAGTGCCGTGGGCATGTTTGCCAGTCACTCTCCGCTTGAAGGGACAGCTGATCAGCATGCAAGAACATACATGCCGCATTGTGACTGCAGAACTACATCAAAAAATTTAGATCCCTCGGTCTTTTTAAATTCATCAAAGTCTACAGTAAGAGCAGAGAGAGGCGTAACTTCAACATGGAATAAATTAATAGTTTAGTATTCATATGCTTAGGAGCATTTGATTTGTACACTTGCCAGTAAGAGTGCAAAGGGACTTCTAGATAATTCTTGCTTTGAAAACTCGTTAACACTTCAGCACTCCTTTATGTTCGTGGAAGTATGAGATTTAAACTGGCCATTTGGTTGCGATAGGGAAGGTAACATCCTACGTTTTCTTTCCCAAAATATACTTGGTGTTTAGGCATAGAGAATATCTACTTATAAAAACAAAGTTAAGCAGCCAAGTTACTAACCCATGAAAGTTATCTTTTTTTTAGTGACAAAACTAGCATTTCCAATACGAACCTTATTGGGCCTCGAGTGTGTATAAAGTGGACTTTATGTTGTAGACTTACTTAACCTAGAGAAAATAATGTGCTTTACCCAGATTCTTACTGATTTAATCACTTTGCTGTCTCCTATGGCTGATGGCCACAGGCCAGTTGCTTCTACTTCTAAGTCTAACATTCTTCTGTACGTCTGATGGATTAAAATATTTTCCCCGATCAGAATTGAACAACCTGATTCTATGTAGCCATATATTTGGTTCTTATAAATGGTAGAGTATATAACCTATTTGAATATCCCAGTGGGACTTCCGATGTAATCAGTTAGGGTATTCATTTGGTTCTGGCCCATTAGAATATAGGTTTCCTATGCCCTCCTGTTTAGGATTTTTTTGGATTCTGGATTGGAAAATTTCAGAGCTGCCTTGGAAAAAACAAATGTATGTAGATGTGTCTCCTTGCATCCACTACATATCTTTTGTTGTTCTTGGGAGGTGAACCTTAATGGATACTCTACCATATGCCAGTCTAGAAGAGTTTAGGAGATTTATAATACATGAAACTTTTGCCTTTATTTATTAAAGTCAAAATGGTTTATTCAGCAACAACTACAAGAGTTTTACAAGAAACAGCAAGAGCAGTTACATCTTCAGCTTTTGCAGCAGCAGCAACAGCAGCAGCAGCAGCAGCAGCAGCAGCAACAGCAGCAGCAGCAGCAGCAGCAACAGCAGCAGCAGCAGCAGCCGCCCCCGCCGCCGCCGCATCCTGGCAAGCAGGCGAAAGAGGTAGGAGCCACCTGCCGTCAGGCTCACCGGCAGGGCGCAGCGGTGCCAGGTGGGGACTGGGTGCCTCGAGGCCAGGGCGGCCTGAGATCTTCTTAGCGCAAGGCTCTCCTGTCAAAGATGCATTATGATACATTTTTACCCAGCTTAATAACAGTGACAGTAGAACTCTCCTGCTCTCCTTTTTTGTAGCATGGGACTTGAGAGTTACAATCCAATGCTGCTGTCTGTCGTCTAATGTTCACTAATGAATCACAGTGTACAAAGAGCAAGCTCTGTGGTGGACAAAGTACTGATTATCTTGTATTCACCGAGAATCTAAGTTGGTGAGGGAACCTTATTTTTCTCAGTGGTGCAGCTCAGAGAACATGCATGCAAATGTAGCCCGTGGTTGCGGGGTGGGGTGGGGGGCTAGGGGAGAAACCGGTGGAACACAGATTTCAAAGTCACGGGCCCCTGATTAATGAACTGCTACTGTAGGTTTGGAGTGGCGAGTAGAAAGTTACAGTTTGATATGCTCATAAATCAAACTGACAAGCTGGCTTCTCAGGCCGAGCTTGCACTTGTCAGCAAACTGCATCAAATATAAACATAATACAAACAAAACATGTTGAAGTAGTTAAATTGATCAGCAGGTATCAGAGCCGTTGTCTTCAAGCTGCCCATTATGCAAACGTACAGGAAACAGTTTTGACCTCCTGAGGCTTTGTTTCTGTTTGGATTTGTGAATAGAATTTCAGACAGCCATCAACTACAGAATAGAAATTGCTCCCTTATTTCTCCGGAGGCTCTGGGCAATCCACATGACTTGCTCCATTATGCAGTCTGTTTTCCAGTGAGCGCATCAGAAGTTTCTCTTTTCCCCAAACTAAAAAGGAAAGGTCTTCCCCAGCAGCTTGTCTGTCTCTGCAGTTGTGACTGCCTCGTCATACCCTCCCGAGTCCAGAGAACTCTGGTTTGTCTTGTAATGCCTCACGAAATTGGAAGTTGTACTTTTCCTTATAATAAGGGCACTTTTTTTTTTTGCCCTGCACATAATTCTGCCTTTAATGTATTCCAACAAGAGAAGAGAGGAAGAGAGAGAGCTAACAGGCCTGTCCTATGAAGGCTACATCCAGTTTACTAATAGATCACCAGAGACCACATTCATGGGCCTCTGCAGATCAAACTTACTCAATTGGAAAAAAAAAAAAAAGAGAAGAGTGTTGTTGAAGTTGACTGTCAGTATAAAGTGTTATTTTTTTAGTATAGATAAACTTATTATCATCATCTGCAATAAGCCAATTTTTTTTTTAAAAGTCTGACACTTTGTTGTAGCATACTTTTTCTAAAGCTCGTTCCATACTCTTTCATGCAAGTTCCTTGGTTCTCTGCTGCTGTGTAATATTTGAAAGAAAGGCAACCGAAAATCTAGAACTTGCTCACATTCTGCTTTCGAACGTTGACCATGGGATGCCCATTCAGAAACTCACCGGGGCAGTGAAAGGAGCGTGTGCATTTCTCTGTATGAGAGCTGTGTGCAGACCATGTGTTCCCTGCTGTTTACGGGGCCGGCTTTTCTGCACCAGCAGCAGCAGCAGCAGCAGCAGTTGGCAGCCCAGCAGCTTGTCTTCCAGCAGCAGCTTCTCCAGATGCAACAACTCCAGCAGCAGCAGCACCTGCTCAGCCTTCAGCGTCAGGGCCTCATCTCCATCCCACCTGGCCAGGCGGCACTTCCTGTCCAGTCGCTGCCTCAAGGTACACACAAAGTGTGCACACTTCACTCCTCGTGTGGCACTTTCTACCATTTCATGCCCTGTCTGCCTTATCCCTCGAGAAGTTTTGTTTTTATGACCTTCAGGTTTATTGTTAAAACACGATCGTTACCATGGCTGCATGGCCCGTTTTCTTGAGGCTCAGAGATTTTACTACACACTGAGTTCAGGTGTGTAGTGAAACTGCTTCCAAGTGTTTTGTTAGATATTAAGTGCGTCCTTATTAGTCTTAGAGCCGAAAATAATTTATAAGGGCAACACAGTTTAGGTGCTATCGAATGTACACTGAAGACCTACCTGCAGGGAATTGGATCAGTGGGAAGGCTAACAACATTCCATTTAACAAAGGTGAGCTGATAGGAGTTTGGGTAGAAAACTGATTTAAAAAAAAAAAAAAAAAAAAGATAGAGGGTGCCTGTCTGGCTCGGCAAGTTGAAGACCAGGCTCTTGATTTTGGCTCAGGTCATGATCCCAGAGTTGTGGGATCAAGCCCTGTGTTGAGCTACATGCTAAGTGTGGAGCCCGCTTGGGATTCTCTCTTGCCCTCTCTCCCTCTCCCCTCCCTGCGCACTCTTCTCTCTCTAAAATAAAAATAAATCAACAAAAATATAGAAGTTCCTAAAAGTTCCTAATCTTCATGCTAACACTCTTAGGTATAAAAAGGAGCCTTTATGTATTCCTATAGAGAATATTCCATTCCAAGCTATGCTTTGTAGAATCCCATCTAAATCGTGGGACCATATTGACCTTATTTTCTCTAAAGTAATATTGCCTGTGCATATATTGTAAATTACAGCTTCAAAAAGCTGCCAATTGTATTCTTATTCATTTTTCTTCCATTTTATTTTACTTTATTTTATATTTTATTTTATTTTATTTTATTTTATTTTATTTAGAAACAGAGAGAGACAGAGCACAAGCAGGGGAGGGGCAGAGAGAGACGGAGACACAGAATCCAAAGCAGGCTCCAGGCTCCGAGCTGTCAGCACAGAGCCTTATGTAGGGCTCAAACCCATGAATGCCAGATCATGACCTGAGCCAAAGTCAGATGCTCAACCGACTGAGCCACTCAGGCACCCCTTATTTTTCGGATAAGAAAACTTTGCATGTACTGTGATAATACAAGAAGATAGTACCATAATACAACACTATAAATCATACAATTGTATATATTCATCATTTGACTCAACTTTTGGGAAACGGAAAGCATTCTTAGTTTAAAACAATGATAGTAAACAAAATGACTCCTTGTGTGCTAAAATTACTGGTACAGGCAAAAGTCATGTATCATTAAACTTCATAAAAGCATATTCTAATTTGCTTTTGGATTTTGTTGGAACAAACTTTAATCCAAATGGACTAATTATATTTGTTACAAAGGGGCTCACATTGTAGTATTTTATGTTCATCTTTCTGACTCAATAGGATATTCTGAATAAAATCAAGAACAATTAAATAGAAAAAAAATAAAATTAGGCAAATAAAAAACTGTCTTTAAAACACACATAATCTTGTTTCTGGCACATGAAACTTAAAATATTGCAGGGGCACCTGGGTGGCTCAGTCTGTTGAACGTCCGACTCTTGATTTTGACTCAGGTCATGATCATAGTTCGTGAGTTTGAGCCCCGCATCAGGCTCTGCACTGGAGTCTACTTGGGATTCTCTCTCCCACCCCCTCTATGCCCTTCCCCACCTCTCATTCTCTCTCTCTCTCTCTTTCTCTCTCTCTCTCAATCTTTCTCCCTGTCAAAATAAATAAACTTTAAAAGTAAAATAAAATAATGTAAAATAAAATAAAATAAAATATTACAGTAAATGTTGTTCACTTTTTTTTTTATCAAATTACTATCACAATGGCATATTTTCCCTAGAATTCCCTCTTTCCCTTGATTTCAGATCTTCTGATTCACCTGATTGAATCACTCCTAGGAAATCAAAAAAGGTAAAGATTAAATAGTGGAAGAAAAACAAGGCCATAAACCCACTTTTCTAGACCATTCCAAAGAGAATTGAAATAAACCATGGTGTCACCATAGCAATGAATGTTCTATTCACTAACTATGTTCTTTGAAAAAATAAATATAATTTGAGGACCAATGAAGAAATAAGGTTTTAAAAAAAAGAAAGGTATGTACAAATTAATTCAATATAAACATGGATTTCTTTGGTAGAAACTACACTAAAACCGAAGCAATGAATTTATACCATTGTTTTTTTTTTTTTCAGTAAAATTTACATAAAATCTGTGTTTAAGATCTAATGATATAAGATTCTCCTCAATAGAGAGAAGCAAGGTCTACCATGATTTTGAGTAAAACCATTGAAATAAACATTTCAAGAAAGTTTAAAATAGATGCTCACAGAGGGACGCCTGGGTGGCTCAGTCAGTTAAGTGTCTGACTTCAGCTCGGGTCATGGGCTGTGAGTTAGGGCCCTGCGTTGGGCTCTATGCTGACAGCTCCAAGCCTGGAGCCTGCTTCGGATTCTGTGTCTCCTCTCTCTCTATCCCTCCCTTGCTCACACTCAGTCTCAGAAGTCCACAGAAGTAAAATATAGTCTATGTGCGATATATTTGTTAAACTACATTCTTCCAAGGCAAACATACAAATATCTTGCTGAAAAAAGAAATTTATTATGACACAACGATTTTAATGATTTTCAAATGAAAATTTACTCTAATTTCTGAGCTTTTTTAAAATAGAATTTTTTTTTCCTTTTCTTCTATTTGTACTCTCCATTAAATATGTGAGAGATTACACACACGAGATAGAGAACATTGAGGAAAATGAAATAAATCTGCAAGCACATCTGGGTTTGAGCAGAATATTTATATTTTAAACAAAATACATGCAAGTCATATTGTGTTTTTCACCGCTTAGATGACTAAGTGTGAAAAGTGCCACTGCGGAGACTCATCAGCCAAACACAGACAGAATGTGTCAGATAAACCAGCCACAGCAGAGGAATAGAACTTCATGGGGTGGTGCTGGGATCCCAAAACTGAATGGGAGAAAGAAAAGAAGTCATTGTTAGACAATGGAAGCCTTGAATTATTTCTGCCTTAACCCTTGGTTATTTCAGATAAAAATATTTTAAATATTTTCATTGTCAGTTTCCCAGTTCACTTTGCACCACGTTTTTGGTTGGCTGATGGATTGGCCATGAATGATAACCACAGGAACACCAAGTAGGATTTATTTATACACAATGATGATCTTTAAAAATATGCCATATTTGAAGTATTTACCCCCATGATTTAACACAGCTTCCTCAGGCTACTTTTTAAAGTTCCAACTTCTTCAACCATATATAAAATAAGTGTATGAGAATGAGACAGAAGTAACAAAATTATAATAATTTTGATAGGAGTGGGAGATGCGTCAACATTTTTCTCTATGTTACAAAATGACATAATATATCACTTTAAATTATTTTAAATATTAAGTATTTAAAGTCACCATGAATATTACTATATTGTTGGATTTTGATGTAAATTAGGCAATTAAGTTATCATCTCTAAAAGCATATATGGGGACACCTGGGTGGCTCAGTTGGTTAAGCATCTGACTTTGGCTCAGATCATGATCTCACAGTTCATGGGTTCGAGCCCCACATTGGGCTCTGCACTGACAGCTGGGAGGCTGGAGCCTGCTTCAGATACTGTCTCCCTCTCTCTCTGTTCCGCCCCTGTTCTCTCTCTCTCAAAAATAAATAAATAAACATTTAAAAATAAATAAATAAAAATCATACATAGAGTGACTGTAGGTATACAGAAGTCAAATAAAAAAAGGATGGATCTGTAAATCAATATCAAATAAAATACTGATTATGAAGCTATTTACTCCATAGATAGTACAGTTTGTATGTCAGCTGGTAATTATTTAGTGACACATTTTCATGACCCAGTACTATTGTCTCCAGGTTAGAAGATAGGAAATTATTGTGCGTGCACTTCTCATGTTTTTGACATGAGATAGAAGTCAGTGTATTCCAGTACACAATATATTCACAGACTTACTATGACTGTGGAGACTAAAATATATGTGGCAAAAACTTTATTTCATTCCAACATTCTACATGTTTTTAAATTTATAAAAGCTATTTAAAATATAACACTTTTGTTACCAATCTGAAAGACCAAACAGAAAATGCTAGAATATCTAGCCAGCACTATTTTGAACTAACACCTTCTAGAACTAGATGAGTTTGGAATGAAAGAACTGTTGAATAATAAAGTGAAATCTTTCTAAGCATAAGAATGTCCTTTATGCTGAGTTAGGAATGTGCTGAAGTTTGTCGTTAGGATGAGTATTCAGTCAAAATCAGGTATTTGGCTTTGACTCATTCTCTGATTATGGAAATCTAAATAGTCAAAGCTCAGTCGGTTGAGCATCCTACTCTTTATCCTGCTCCTTTTGGCTCAGGTCATGATTCCAGGGTGGGGGATCAAGCCCCACATTGGGCTGCATGCTCAACATGGAGCCTGCTTAAGATTCTCTCTCTCTCTCTCTCTCTCTCTCTGTCTCTCTGTCTCTCTCTCACACCCTCTCCTCCACTCGCTGTCTTTCTAAAATAAATAAATAAGTAGCCAAATGCATACTTCAGCATCACTTCTGGCATCTTGATTTTTTTGCCTAACCTGTAATCATGTGCTTGCATAGATCACCTTTGTATCTAATCAGGGTAACAGCACCGCAATATGGACAAGGCATGTGGCGCAGAATTATTGTTACCATCTTAGTATTTCCTTTTAAATACCAGTCAGTCTTTAATTTGTAACTTGGAAGGGAAACTCCTTTGGGGTTTTACATGCTAAAGCTCCATCAGTAAGCTGAAGTTTAGATGTACATTTATGATTGCAGGAATAAAACTTTGCAAAGTTAACTATGAATGCTATTAATTTTATGTATAAAAAGTAACTCACAACAAGTTAAATACATAGAGAAATATTAGGCGTGTTAATTTTTGAGGAAATGTAAGT